CCACCCTCCCTCTCTCTCCCTCTCTCACTCCCTCACCTAATGATCTTGGCTATCTGTCTGCTCCCCCAGTGTCTACAAGAAAGTCAACAACAGCAGTGCCCCCAACACTTTGTGGGAGAGACTGGAGGCTTTGTCCGTCGTCACCGGCCTCTCAAGGTAAACTCTCCTCACCACAGAATCTGGTCGCTCAAGTTTAACATTTAAATCAAGAGAACACAAAATTTTCCAAGACAGAGAAAGATTATTTCATTCTTTTACAAATTGTGCCTTCTTTAGGTATGGTTTCTTGCTTTGAACTTGAACAAAATGTGTCTCGACGTGGTGAAATCAGGCGCTCGTCAATTTTTGGGCATGTGGAGTTATTGGTATCAGCTTAAAGTTTATTTATTTGCTTTGCTTTCGATGAAAAAAAACATCCGTTTATCTTGAATAGAAGTCAAGATTTGCCAATGAAGGAGGTGGGGGTGGCCTGGTTTCAGAGGTAAAATTAGCGAGAAAATGGCTTCCAAAGTTTGGTGATTTCCAAAGCTTGAGAGTCCTTAGAAACTGCAAATTATATTTGTGTGCCTTAAATCAACATTTTTCAGTGAAATCCACACTCTGTCTCTTGCCCTTTTTAACTCCCAGTGAAGCATAGGCCATCAACATTTCTCCAGCGAAGCCTGTCCTGTGCATCCTTTTCTGGCTGTTTCCATGATGTCCCCGCTCTTTCCATTTCCGCTTGTACCGCTCGCCTCCATGTCATCTTTGGTCTTCCTTTCCTACATTTTCCTTATGGATTCCGCGTCAAAGCCTGTCTGATGATGCTTGTTGGGGGTCTCCTCAGGGTGTGCCCAATCCATTTCCAGATGGACCTTAAAAGTGTCAAGTCAAAAAACAAAAATTCGATAAAAATTGTTAAACGGACAGAAAAATGAAAATTTCTTCGATTTCATTATTTTGACGAGCGCCTGATTTCACCACAATGCCTCACATTTTACAAAAAATTAATTAGGGCTTAGTACATCAGAACAGCTGGCAGAGGATAAAAATTTCTTGGACATTGTTCTTCTTGTGCAGATATACGTACGTGGTGACCAGAAGCTTGGAGCCGGACGAAGAGTACAACTTCCGAGTGGACGTGGTGGGTACCAGCGACGGGAAGCTGCGGCGGAAAGTCAGTCCAGGAAACCCGTCCGAGATTGTTCTTAACCCTTGCACCAGTAAGTGGCTCTGTGTCATCCGAGATTGTTCTTAACCAGTAAGTAGTTCTGTGTCATCCGAGATTGTTCTTAACCCTTGCACCAGTAAGTAGCTCTGTGTCATCCGAGATTGTTCTTAACCCTTGCACCAGTAAGTAACTCTGTGTCATCCGAGATTGTTCTTAACCCTTGCACCAGTAGCTCTGTGTCATCCGAGATTGTTCTTAACCCTTGCACCAGTAGCTCTGTGTCATCCGAGATTGTTCTTAACCCTTGCACCAGTAGTTCTGTGTCATCCGAGACTGTTCTTAACCCTTGAACCAGTAAGTAGCTCTGTGTAGTTGGGTTAACAGTACTTGTGGTAGCCTAGTGGTTTGGCTACCAGACTCATAATCATGAGATTGCGGGTTTGGGGGTTCGAGCCTCAGCTCGGTCCGACGTTGTGTCCTTGGGAAAGGCACTTTACACGAACTTCCCACTTGGCTTGGTCCTATCTGAGACGGACGTTAAACTAGGAGGTCCCGCCCCTTAAATAACTTAATAGTGTTGATAGGGGTGTTAAAGTCATACCATTTCACCATTCTCACAGTACTTGTCAAGTACAATGGATGCTGATTAACTGATTCAGCCCGCAGATAATTTTGACTCCGGACGCAAATAATTGTGAGGCAGCGCGGTGGAATCAGGCTCTCATCAAAATAATAAAAATGAAGAAACCTGCATTTTTCCGCAGGTTTGTGAATTTTTATCAATTTGGCTCAACAACTTTCATGCCCAATGAAGAACCATTTTTGAGTGGATTTTTCTGATAAACGTTGATTTAAAGGCACAAAAATGTAATTTTTCAGTTACCAAGGCCTTTTTAGCTGAACCAATAACTCATCTTTAGCGGCCATTTTCTCACTAATTTTGCCTCTGAAAATAGGTGACCCCCACCCCCTTCATTCACAAATATCTCAACTTGTATTCAAGATAAATGGATATTTTTCCATACAAATAAAGACAATTGAACAAGCCTTAAGATGATACCAATAACTCTACATGCCCAAAAATTGACGAGAGCCTGATTCCACCACACTGCCTCACAATTTGTGACCACTCCAAGACCTCAGGGGTGGTCTCACAAAAAATTAATAAAGAAAATATAAATTTGATCAAACCCTCTTATGTGTGGCATATAGAAATGTTCAGAATATAAAATACTATTCAATGACACCAGAAAAAAAGGGTTGAAATATAAGTGGGGAGAAAAAGAGAAGATAGGAAAGTGATGAAGAAAGGGAGCAATAGATAAGAGCTGCTGTGAGCGACTGTAGGTCAAAACTAAACACAGGAGACAGTCAGCCACTGTGAGCGACTGTAGGTCAAAACTAAACACAGGAGACAGTCGGCCGCTGTGAGCGACTGTAGGTCAAAACAGTCGGCCGCTGTGAGCGACTGTAGGTCTAAACAGTCAGCCGCTGTGAGCGACTGTAGGTCAAAACAGTCGACCGCTGTGAGCGACTGTAGGTCTAAACAGTCAGCCGCTGTGAGCGGCTGTAGGTCAAAACACAGGAGACAGTCGGCCGCTGTGAGCGACTGTAGGTCAAAACACAGAAAACAGTCAGCCGCTGTGAGCGACTGTAGGTCAAAACAGTCGGCCGCTGTGAGCGACTGTAGGTCAAAACAGTCAGCCGCTGTGTGTGAGCGGCTGTAGGTCAAAACACAGGAGACAGTCGGCCGCTGTGAGTGGCGCTGCAGGCTGAATCAGTTAGACCGAAATATGTGGGACCAAAATCTGTGGGATCCCTGAATTTTCTTCAGTTTAATCGAGCCTTTGGTTTAGAAAGGTTGGTCATACATAAGAAAAAAAAATCGGGGAATCTATTTTCTATAGGTGTACCACAGCTTTTGGATTAACCGTGTTTAGTTTAAGCAGACTCTACAGTACAGTAGGCATTGTCCAAGACAGCCACCCATTGTCAAAGAGAAAAGTGGTTGTCTTAGACAGGTGTATTACTTGAACAGCGTCGTTTTGATGTATACAAAATTATTACAAGGGGGCAGTTGGAAATGATCATTTGCACCGGTGGTTGTCTTGGACAGGTTGTTATTTGAGCAGGTTCGACTGTATTTGTTAGGCAGCGTGGTGGAATCAAGCTCTCGTCAATTTTTGGGCATGTAGAGTTATTGGTATCATCTTAAAGCTTGTTCACTTGTCTTTATTTGGATGAAAAAAATATCCATTTATCTTGAATACAATTCGAGATATTTGCGAATGAAGGAGATGGGGGTGGCCTGGTTTCAGAGGTAAAACTAGCGAGGAAATGGCAGCCAAAGTTTGTTGATTTTCAAAGCTTGAGAGTCCTTGGAAACATACAATTTACATTCGTTGTGGCTTTCATCAACGTTTTCCAGGAAAATCCACACAGGAACTTTCTTAAAAGGACATAAAAGATGTTGAGCCAAAACAAAAAACAAAATTTAAAAAAAAAACTCAAACTGGCGCGGAAAAGCCAGTATTATCGTTTTAATAATTTTGACGAGCGCCTGTTTTCACCTCAAGGGCTCACATTTTATTTTTCTTATCTTACTTTTTTGGGGGGAAAACGCCTCTTTTGTGTGCGCTATGTCTTTTAGCCAGCATTTGGGCTTAATCCCCAGTGCTGGGTTATTCAGGCTGCATCCGTCAGTCTGTCGCCTCGTGGTGTGTGTGTGTGTGTGTCTTATGTGAAGCGTGCTGACAAAATTACTTACTTCTCGGATTTAAGCCCAAAAGAAAAGGCTACATCACACATATTTATAGGTAAAGTTTTTGCAATTTACAAGTATGAAATGATAAAAGGCATGCAATATTTAAAGAATATTATATGGTATCAATAGAAAATCTACAAATTTGACCCTAGTGTCGATTTTTTTACCAATATCTCCATTTGTGGATTGCGAGAAGTAACTCATTTTGTCAGCTCGCCTCACTTATAACTTATACCCACTGCACACTGCTAATCGAATTCATCGAACTGAGTCAGGGTCATCCAGATTATCCCTTGTGGGTGGGGCAAGAGCTACCATAGTAGCACAATACGACTGAGTCCAACTTATTTGATTGTGCCCTTCAAAGTCAAACATGTTCGTTTTTCAAGGTCTTGTGTTGAATTGTTCATATTGTGTCAAATTGTGAAGCTGTGCTAAGGTCAAAGCTTAAACAGAAATCTCATACAGAAATCTTTTTCTTTTTTTACAGGTACCACAACTCCGAAACCACCAACCACAACACAGTTTCTTTTCTGTAAGTACGACTCAAACTATGATTTAGATGTTTTCATATTTTTATGTGTGTGTGTGTGTGTGTGTGTATGTGTGTGTATGGGTGTGGGTGTGGGTGGGTGGGTGTGTATGTGTGTGTGTGTGTGTGTGTGTGTGTGTGTGTGTGTGTGTGGGTGTATGTTTTGGGTGTGTGTGTGTGTGTGTGCGTGTGTGTGTGTGTGTTTTTATGTAATTATAGTACTTGTACTGAAGATATGTTGACACTGAAGAGATTGAGACTGAATTTACACTACAAAAACGAATTCCACTCTCAGAATTTGATTTTTTGAAAATCTGCAAATTTGACTGTGGGTTGTTGTTTTTTTCAGTATAGTCATTAATTGTTTTTCTCTTTTATTTCAAATGATCAAAGTGTGGGTGGTTTGTGGGTGCTCTGATGTGGTTTGCTCCTTCTTTCCTATCAAACATCTATCGTCCTTATCTCTCCTTCTTTTTTGTGTACGTTACTCTCTTGTAACACATCTGTTTGTCGTCGTCACTTATATGACCTTATTGTGTTGCAAGTGCCGCAAAACTCTTATGAAAACTAAAACATCTATCATCCCTATCTCTCCTCCTTCTTTTTTGTGTTTGCTACTCTCTTGTAAACCTCTAATCTTCGGCACCTATATGACCTTATTGTGTTGCAAGTTCTGTAAAACTCTCTTACTAAAACAAAAACAAATGATCAAAGTATAATGTGTGATGAAGCCCTTGAAATTTGGGATTTTCTCAAAACCTGAAAATATGACTTTGGTGTTTCCCTTACCTATAAAATTCAATGACAAGCACATCTGGTCGGGGTAGGCAGTTTAATACTTAACAAGCACATACTCTGTTCACATGTTCTGCTCAGAAGAGACTCTGACCACATGGTCTCGTGCTGATATACTGCTCACAACACTGACAAGGGTAATCACTGCTCACAACATTGACAAGGGTAATCACTGCTCACAACATTAACAAGGGTAATCACTTCGAAAGGACGAAGACAACTCACGACATTTACGGGTGGTCACTAAGAATAATGGACGAGGACAACTGGACACTGACTCATTGGGTTAAGTCCCTTAAACATGTTTGACAGTGACCACCCTACACTACCCAAAAAATTCCCATGTGAATCAATCAAATTCATTTTGTCTCATTTTTCAGTCTACAAAATTCCTCATCCTGATATTTTGTCCATTCTTCAGCACGGAAAGTGTTTGACACAATCGAAGCCACGGCCTCTTCGACCAAGTCGGGCTATGTGACCATACGCTGGACAGTCCTTCCTCAGTACCAGCAGCTGAACTACGACGTCACCATTACACGCCAGTTGCTAGGCAACGGTGACTGCGACAAAGATGGAACGGCACCTGAGACTGTGAGTTGCTGTTAACGTGCTTTTCATTTTCCAATACTGTATACCACAGATTTTTCTCACGTGACTTATAGTCATAATCTTTGTAATTTTAAAAAGAAATTATTCATAAAATCAAGCAGCTCATGCAATTGTAAAAGGGACACCACTGTATTGGGACACATGACACTGGGTGTCTCAAATCGTGAAATTAAAATATGGACTTTACTTTACTTTACTTTTATCCGCCGCTTATACCCTTTTGGGTGTCGCGGGAAGAAAGAGACGTCTCTCTGTCGCCAGCCGGAGAGCTTGGGTCTGGGGATGCCGTGGGTGTTTAATGTTTCCCTGACTCCATCTATCCAGGTCTTTCTCAGTCGCCCTCTTGCTTTATTGCCATTGAATTTTTTTATGTAGGCACCTTGTGCTGGGTGGTGTGTTGGTAATCGCACGAGATGTCTCAACCATTTGATTCTTTGGTGTTGGATGTGATGCATGACATCATTTGTGCCCACCATTTCTCGGATTACTGAGTTTCTAATTTTGTCTTGCCTGGTCTTGTTAACTGCTTTTCTAAGGCATCGCATTTCACATGTTCTAATTCTTTGCTCTAATGTCTTGTTTGTGGTCCATGTTTGGCATTGGTAGGTGAGTGATGGGATGAACATGATGTTGATCATTTTGAGTTTTGTTGTCATGGGGATGTTAGGATGTTTCAATAGTAGAGTAAGCTGGTAACTAAAATTAATGGTCTTTTGTACTCGTGTTTCAATTTCAAAATATGGACAAAAAAACAAAATGAGCAGAAAGCAAAAAAGAGCACGCGTAAAGAACCTTGTGTACAATATGCAAAGTCATATGATTCATGCACAGTGTGTGTCGATTCTGTTTCCAAGACTGCTAGTTGCTGTTAACACACCCTTCAAGTGGGTGGTTGGCAGGTGTCTTATGTGGTTTGTTCCTTCTAGGCTGTCGTACACCTATCGTCCTTATCTCTCCTCCTTCATGGGTGGTTGACGGGTGCTCTGGTGTGGTTTGCTTCTTCTTTCCCATGAAACATCTATCGTCCTTATCTCCCCTTCTTGTATTTTTATGTTTGTTACTCTCTTGTAACACTTCTAATCTTCTGGTGCTCATATGACCTTATGCAGTTGCGAGCGCCGTAAAACCTCTGCTAAAACTAACTCTCCTCCTTCTTTTCTTTTTGTATTACTGTCTAGCAAAACCTCTAATTTTTGGTACACACATGACATTTTAGTGTTGCAAGTAGCGTAAAATTCTTGCTGAAACTAAAACACCCTTCAGTGTTATAGCATACCATGATGTCTGATTCATGCAGTAGTTGTATGTGTGCGGTGTGCTGACAAACTGAGTTACTTCTTGTGTTTTAGTCTTATGGAAATTTATACATCAACTTTATACGTGGAGTTCGTACAATTTGTAAGTATGGAATAATAATAAACACAGTAGACTTGGAGAAAATGTCGTCAACTGAAAGTCTATCAATCTGACCCCTGTGTCGATTTTCGGCAGATATCTCCTTTCTTGGATTGTGAGAAGTAACTCAACATTCTGTCAGCACGCCTCACATGTGTTTAATCTGTTGTAGCTAGGGTTCTCAACCTCAGGGTATAGTCTCCACCAGGGTTTGGATGGATATCACCTGTTTGTGTTGCTGTTTTGATGTCTATAGGTTTGTGCTTATTTTTCCCATTGGTGGTTGGCGGGTGCTCTGGTGTAATTTGCTCCTTCTTTCCTATCAAGCATCTATCGTCCTTTTCTCCCCTTCTTTTTTTTATGTTTGTTACTCTCTTGTAACAGCTCTAATCTTCTGGCGCTCATACGACCTTATGCAGTTGCGAGTGTGGTAAAACCTCTTCTAAAACTAACGTATTTTTCCTGTCCAGTGGTTATCCTACTTGAAAGTTCACATGACGTCAGCTTATTCTCTACTTTTATCCTAATATGCACTATTCACAGTCTTATCCTAATAAACTAATTTATCACAGTCTTTTATTTAAACCTAACAGTTGTTGATCTTTTGGGAATGGGTACCCAGCAATAGAAAGTGAAAGATCTTTTCAGTTTGTTAATGTTTTAATGCATTTAGCCCGTAACTTGCACTGGATGCTTCTCGCTCGAGAAGCCAAGAATATTTCTAAGTTGTGTTTTAGGGTCTGCTGCGGTAATTATACTGTCCCTGTGGTTTTATGCACCCCGCCCGCATAATTTAGCAAAATTTGATCATTTTTTACACAATTTCTGATTATTTTCCTTTATTATTCTCTGTTAAACTTAACAGAATCGCATAATTTCACATTTTTGGGGCTCAGTTTGCATAATTTCAGAATTTTTCTTGCATAAATCGATGGGGACAGATTAAAATTGTAAAGTGCATAGTGCATGCTGTTGAGCACAGATATGTGCTATATACAAATACAATTGTTATGATGATGATCATCATCATTTATCATTATAAGGATTATTAGTTTTATCATTATGATTGTCATTATGATTATTGCTTTATTATATCATTCTTCTTCTTTTTCTTCTTCTTCTTCTTCTTCTTCTTCTTCTTCTTCTTCTTCTTCTTCTTCTT